ACTATGCTTTCCTCAAATAGAACATATAATACATTGAAAATAACAATCATGCATCATGCAAAACTTACAATACTTATTCCCTAGCATGCAGGACATAATAGCAAACAAATAATCAACCAAACAAAGTAATATTCAGACAGATAATTAAGAATTAACACAATGTAGCCAAGGAATGGCACATATTCCCAAAGCAATTGATGCTAGACACACGAAGCACTCACATAAGTTAATTAAAAGAAGCAACAGATGTAACAGCAATCAAAACATTAATCCTTTTGAAGCAAACAAGATAATGTTGATCATAATGAACAAAATGAGTAATACACTCAAAATTAACAAAATAAATTCATATCTCATAACGAATGCACACATATATTCAGTGAATAAAGTGAATATAATGATTAAAACAATATCAAACAGAATTTGACACGAAATAAGTGATAAAACAAACGAATATTATGATATATGATGAAAAATAGAACTGTGAAGTGTACTACTTCATCTATCTACAAAATAAAAGCAACAAACATGTATTATAACTGTACAGAGCAATATATTAATCAAATAAACATTACACAATGATAATAAAACATTATCACAACAATAAAACAATACAAACATACAAATAATGTTATAGTTTGTAAAAGTCAAAGGACACATTAAATGATAACAAACGTAATGCACACATATATTGATAATAAATATATCTACTACAAAACAGTGAAATGATACAAACATATCATATGTTTAAAACATAAATAATGTGCCTAAACAGAATTACAAACAGTCAGATGATAAAACAATACAAATAACAGAAGAATAAAACCTCAATTAACCTTAATATGAAGCAATCTAACATATCATACATGATATTACAAATTGTGAACAATACAATGCTTCAATATAAAGGCATAGAACTACAATTGAATGCTTAAAAGGTATGAATACAAAACGAAACAAACAATGATGATACATGATGAATAGAGGACATCATAATAACATTAATAACACATTTTATGAGTATGATTCAACAGTTTCATTGTGAAAGTAAAAGTGGAAAAACTACTAGTAACACAATTCAAATGTGCAAGAATACAAATTAACATGAACAAATTAATAACACACACATTGTTATTAAATATAGTATTAACTATACAAACAAAACAATACGAACGAAGTACAAATTCTAATTACACAACAAGTGTAAGAATATAAAACAAACTACACATATAATAATACAAATACAAACGAAACGAATAATGGAACAACTGCAGAACAGTACAGTATGAAGAAATAAACATACTATGACACAAAACAAACAATATGACATGAAAAACAAACAAAACAAAGTTATAACATATCATATTAAATTGCAAACAAGAAAACTACTATCATACAAATGATAAAACATTATAGTGACAACTATAACATTAATAATATTAAAACTACAAACGAACAAACACTAAAGAGATTCTGCAGCTCTCTTAGCAATCATAATTGAATTAACAATCAATTTATTACATCAAACGTTATAATAATACATTAGACGAACACAACACTTACAGTGGACTTAATATACAAAGTAAACAAAACATTTACATTGTGGATGTAAATGATATTAGTAAAACAACAAACAAACGCTTATCAAACATTATATTAGCCTGATCAACTAGTATAAGTTTGAAGGGGAGTGTTAGCATTTATTCTGGATAAATGTGTCATATGTCTTAGACATGTCTTCTGAGACATACATCCGAGACACACAATATTAGATAGCATATATAATACTTAATATAAGGACGATGAAGCTCACAGGGACACATATAACAGTACACAACACATTACCAACTATGTAGTCGACTTGTATCAATGCCTACACACTATGAGCAGAGCCTACTGAACCCCTACTGGTGTGAACTACTCTAAGGGAATCATTGCAACCTTAAAACGCTAACAGACTGTTTAGACATAAGTAGTAAATAGACAGTATAGTGTAACTTGTAAAACACTATGCTTACCTTTACAACAAGATTAACAATATGAGTAAAACAATGTACATACAATTTCATACTATGAAACATTAGTACAAGTTTTTCTAGCTCAGTCACTATTGTATTACAGTTACCTGTATTGTCTATACAGAGTACATGTACCTATAACATAGTAATCAGTAATGTACAGAATGTTCATAAGAATAACACATACATACTTAGTAAGTTTGTATTACTAAAGACACTGTATCAGTTCCTGGGCCAGATATTGACCTGTATGGCCCTGAGTCAGGCTAAAAGAAATATTTGTTAGGACCTTACAGTGTAGAGCTATTTAGACTGCTTTAATAATCTGAGAGATGATAGTCAAGGACAGTAATAACAACATAACTATAGTAGCTAGCTTGAAGAGCAATTATGCTCCTGTTTCTTTATGTACAGATACTAATACTAATACTATGACAGTTAGCTTGAAGAGCAATCATACTCCTGTTTCTTTGCATACAGATACTAATACTAATACTATAGTACTATATCCATCATTATTGCCTCTGCTAAACTATAATACATACTAAAGCTAGGTAATGACTTTAGCAGACATTTACTGGTTACACTTGGCCTTTCAATC